GATGCCCTTAGATTCGGCCTCCTCCACTACAGATTTGATGAGTGGGATAAGGTAATTATTGGAAGAGTTTTTGTAACTCTTAACAGCCTCGAGAACGCTCTTAGAGTCTGTAATAATAGAAGCTTTAGGTAATTTAAGATCGATAGATAGAGTAATAGCTGTATAAATGGCGTATGCTTCAGCGGAAAAAATCGAGGTGTATGACGGAAGTCTGAACATAAACTCGGCCTCCAGCTGAGGGGAGAAAACAGCCGCGCCCACAAACGTACTGTGATCAACCTTAGACCCATCGGTGTAAAATAACACTGAGTCAGACGTGAAATGCTGTAATTCCTGGTTAAAAAAAGACTGAGCGGGTGGAATAGGAAAAAAGTTAGATGAATCCACTGAAGGAAGAGAAAGAGATGTATAGGGGGGAGAAATGGAAGTAGAGCAGAAAGAGGACCTAAAGTTTGGTAAAGTAAATGAACAGTATAATATCCCAATCACCTCAAATATTGATAAATATTGAAAATACACTCAATCGATGCGTTTTTATATAAAAATCAAGGTTTGACAAGAAAAAGCGTCGCTCTGCCCCAAAATATTAATCGTTACTTAATATGCGACGTACTACATATGAGACATATAATTGTGCGCATCGACTTTTGTGCATAAGAAAGCTTTCCATTTATCGTATTTGAGGTTACTAACTTCAGCTGACATAAGTCGACACAAGTTGACACAAGTGCCTATAAATGGAAAGCACCCACTATAGATATCAATAGGTATAGGTAGAGATCCTACAGTATGACAGAGATGCGCAAAGTGCCTCTGAGGAATATTCAATCGACGCACGTAACAAGGCCCTATATATCGTAAGGTGCATATAAGGGTGTGCTCCCCACCAAGTACCTCTTATACTCAACACCGACTCCTGTGGAATGAGATTAGTAAATTCATCCTTCAATGGGTGCATCCAGAAGCACGACAGCTCACTAAGCGTTCAGTGAACTCTTATATCTGATCAACATATTCCATTAGATCTAAAAATATAGACCAAACAGGTACAAGAGCTCACTGACCGCTCATTGAGCGGTCGTGCTTCCGGATGCACCCTGAAAGCGAAAGTCTAAAATGATGCGAAAGTGAATATTCGTTACATCCTTACTTTAGATCTACAATAGATATTTTAAGCCCTTAAGCTGTAAAAAGTGAATGTTGCATATTTTATGCACAGAATTTATATCTACCATATGACAGCACTACATTTAGAAACGAGAGACCCCATCCAATCAGAGCAATATTTACGTGACACTTTGTGCATCTCTGTTATACTATAGGGTCTCTAGGTATAGGCCGCGTCGCTACGAGCCGCGAGTATCATGGTGGAAAGGATTCACATGGTGTGCTCACAACAGTTTGAGCAAACTCATAGACATAGGTCGGAATCCATAGTCACAGTATACAGTAGCGCAACTCTCTGTCGGCACTTTTGATGTTGAAGCCAAAATCGTAGCGCGCATGCGCAAATTGAGACATTACATACGGTAACGCCATCTAGACTTCTCT